TCGCGCAACATACTTTAACAAAATTAATTTATAATTGTGAAGAAAGTATTGAGTTTCAATTTGGAGAGCAGTGAAACTTCATGGAAACAAATCAATCAAAGGGCGTGTAACATGCTAAGAAGGCTGGTGCTGATAAAATTTACAACCGTCATTGAGCGTCTGCTTTTCTATTCCAATGCTTGAAGTAGAAGATTATGAAAAATATGTTTATTGATCGTTGAAAAGATCTGAAAATGAAATGATTAACAGGAAAGACCAGGACAATCATAGGCGAATCCAATACGTTCTTTTTCGCATTGTACCCATCCGCTCTGAAATCGGATATGGTTGAAAGTAATGGTTACAATAGTCCAGCGCAAAAAAGTTATATGTTACATCTGCACTAATTCTTGGGAAAACTTACTTGTGCTCCACAGTACTCGCTAAAGAAGTCTCTTACGCACAGCACGAAAGTCTCACTGGCTCTGGAATGTAACGAAACAAATGCCCTTCAGACTTTGTTTTGTAGTTTTTTAGATATTTATTAATTTATTCAGGCATAAAAACATGCAATGAAAATAGAACTAAACTGTCATGAATATAAAAGAGATTTCTAAACAAGAACTGTATAAATAAGTAAGAAAGCAATCGAACTGAGGCTGAATTTATCAAACTATTGTTTGTGAAAAACTAGGAATATTCGAAAGGAGTCGGACGAGCTTGCAGGTCAAGCGGTTCGCAATAGTTTCGTAAAATGGAGACTGGGCGATTATAGCGCCTAATTTTGTAAGAAAGGTCTCGAGCTCTAACATAAGGCAGCGAAATGATCAGCCAATCCCACTACAAGGGGAGATGCTTTTTCGCTTTCTCTTTCCTTGTTAGATGTGCATTTATCGGCCATCTCATACGGTCGTCCACCAGCAGCTTATCTACTACTAATATTCCTCATAGCTTTTGTCCTACCACTGCTCCCGTTTAGATGACACTCCGTTTCATCGCATTTCTCATGAGATCCCACCAATTCGTCAATAGTAGACGCTTGAAACACCAACAGACGGTCATTTTCAATGCAGGTCCCTAACAGGACGCAAGAATACTTCACAGTTCAGGGCAGGAGCATCCTCCATTGTGCCATGTTCGTATGGCGGTCGCACAGTGTTTTTTGAGGCGAACCAAAACGGAGAGGGACAGCAAAAGTGGCAGTGGGTAGTAGCGACCGACTTCGAGGGTTTGTGTATGCGACTGTTCTGCAGATGATAGAAGATGCAAGTGAGTGTGTACGCTAGCGAGCGACATCCATCTGCGGCAGGAGAAAAAGGCAGTGAGCACGATCAGCTGAAGTGGATAGCGTCAGCGGGCGACAATGAACGACTGAAATGTGGTCTGAAACTCGTAGTCAATTCACGAAGTCGAAACTGGTAGTGGATATCCTTCTATTTATATAAAGCGCTAACTTGGTGTGTCGGTGTTGTATGTATGTGTGTGTGTATGTATGTATGTATGTATGTATGTATGTATGTCCGTCTGTCCGTCCGCAAAATGAAGTGAGTGATAAGGAAGCTCATGGAGTAAACACCGCTAACAAATCGGGTAGCTCCTCGAGGTATCAATGTTTTGTAGCAGGATAATTGTGATAACACTCCTACGGCTATATAAACATCTGCTGAGCACACTTCCGGTCATTCCACATGGTGCTGCAGTGGCAGCTGGAGGGAAGTGAAGGAAGGAAGGATGGGGAGGGGAGGCGGGAAAAATCTACCGTCATATTATGATTATGGCGATGCCCTCTACTTCATGAAACTCCTTTTGTTGCATACGCGTAAGCTCCACGAAGTGTTGGTGTCACAGGTGGAAGGGACCACAGCGCAAGACATAACGCTTACGCAGGAAAGGAAGGTCCCGGCGGTTGACGGGGGACTAATCTGGTCATGGTATATGGCAGAAGGAGAAGAAAGAAGAAAACGATAAGGATTTGAAAAGAAATATGTTACCGATAAAATTCATAATGTTGAGAAGTTGCAAAAGTGGGATGGAACTCTGAGCGAGCTCATACGTTTTTCAAGTCTTAAAAAGAATATCAAAACCTCACTCGCAGTAACGATAAGGATTCTTGCTGACAGTCTGTTGGAATTTGTAGAAACATGCCTGATAGAGGGAGCCATCTTCATTCTCAGCATTGACGATACACGGAAGTTGAAATTGGAACACTAAATAAAACAAATTGGAGCTCTTAGATAGGGTTCGACTCAGTGTATTCTGCTCTGATTGTGGAATCAATTGTACTGACCATCAAATCCAGTACTGCACAGAAACTCGAGGTGTTTAAAGGTGTGCACGTAGGTGACAGCGTCATCGAAGTCGGTTGCATCACGATTCAGGAGGTAAAAGCGATTTATACATGACGGATACATGAAGCCAAGCTTTTGAGCATACTGCTGACGAGCACTAAAATCGTTAGTAGAGTACTTCTGAAAAAGAAGTCCTGTCTGTTGTGCTCATAATGGGATGGCTGTCATAACGAAAAGCCGCATGCAGCTTCGCTCGTGTTTCATTCCCAAACCTGGTCTATCGTTGGTGTGGCCGATTCAGGCAGGAGTATTTTTTGGCGAGCGAGTTCGCATTTGGCAAAATACTCTAAGGCCATAGGAAGAAGAAATTTTCCATGGAGTGGAAAAGTTTCGCGGATTGAGAAAAATTTTCGAGAAGTTAACATTTTTGCCGTTCTGACTGTTGTCTGTACCTCCTCCAGGCACACTTTGGAGATTTGGGGGCCAAGTTGTAGGTGTGTCAAGTGGTACTATAATCAAACACTAAAGAGGCAGCCATTGTGGAGATGGGGTTGTATGTGTGGATTCGACCAGCCGTCGCTGTTGACTCTGCTGTTCAAGATACAATGCTTTTGAAGTAGTCTCACAAGAAAGCATTCTATTGGTATGTTCAATGAATGCAAAGACTCACTTGCACACCTTCACAAAACTGTCGACTCCCACCTTGATAAGGGTGTCAACCTGCTCGCTGAATATGGTAGCATTCTTCCATGTTAAGCTCAGATCAATTCCGGTTTGGTTATTGAAATTCACCTAGAGATTGATGAATCTGACTAGATGATTCAGCTTAAGCTAATATTAACCTGAGCATTGTCAAAGATATTGTCCAAGCATCCGTTGTAGTCGTCGTTTCCCGGAGGCAGTTGAAGAGCCTTTCCAAGGCCTCTGTGTAGCGTTCGGACAGATGAAGCGTCGGCTGTAACCCATAAAGCTGCTGCGAAGATGGAAGTTATCATAGTCACCTTCGCCATGACGCAATCTAAATGATTAGCAGAAAAATGCCACCGGCCCAGTAGATCTTTCGCCGTGCTGGATAAACGTAGTGCAACGATATGTGATGGGTAGGACGAGGATATTCACTGACAACTCGTTTGTTCATACTACAACAGAGAACACAGAGCAGCCGCTCGTAGCTCTAGAGGGTTTTGTGGGGTGTGCTTGCAGATTACTTCGTAGGACAAAAGGTCGGGGAGGGGCGGAGGTGAAAAGGCGTTATATGTAGATTCAAAGATATGGGTGCGACCGTAAGCTCTTCAAAAAAGCAATTGAAGGATCATTGATCATTCGACTACAACGATATCGACTTGTCGAAAATGTATTTTGTGCGATAATTAACCGTGAAATATCTGCCTTAAAGGCACACCTCACGATCGAGGTGGTGTGGTAGTTCCACGCAAAGATGAGGGCAGGAAGGCCAAATGGACATCCATTTGAGGAAAAAGAGGAATAGAAACCGTGAAAAATAATCGAGGCGTAAGCCTCCTTTCTTTACGCTGTGAACACAAACACTGAATGAGAAGTAATGGGCGCCGAGGAGAGAGGAAAAGCATTTAAGGCGAGAGAGCATAGCAGATCAACGATGTAACAGGGAGGAGATAGCCCCACGTTAGGCGTGCCTGGATCCATTGGGCGTTCGAAAATTCGAATTCTAAGTTAGTGGCGTGACGCGCTTCAAGCCTTTGCAGTTGGGAGCCCAAGGAGTGCATCCACAGGGGATTTTGCATGAGAGCGATTCGCACAGTGTGCATTCACACTGTTCTGATGAAATGATGCAGAGCACTGAAAGAGAACTTTATCGAAGCCTCTTTCAAAATAACAAGAATTTTCAAGAGGATGTGTTGGTAAGCAATGAGACACTATTACACATCGAATTCGAAATTTGAAAGTATAGAAGATTCATCAAAGGCTTCAAAGTGATGTAAAAACCTAGCAGTTCGGAACTCGGAGTTTCACTCATTTCTTCGTGCTCAAGCTGTGGAAAGCTCGATATGTATTCTGCTCAAAAACAAGGGAAACACCGTGGAGAGTCAATTTCTGTGGATCAGACTTTCGCGTACTTCTTAATAGCAAATTGAACAATTTTACTGGAAAACTGAGATCTGGGTTAAGATGATTCGGGAAGGTTGAGTGGCATGTGAAACTCTTATAATGGGCCCGAAATGTGCAGAATTCAGCCTGAATCTGCTCATGGAATAGCCAGTTATTTCAGCATATCTGGTACAATAATAGCGATTTTATCGCTTCGGTGATAAGGCGATGACATTTTCGCAACTTTATGAAGCTTTGAAGTCGTAGCACTCATAATTGCCCCTTCACATCAAATGACACTAATGTGAAATGGAAAGCAAGCAGACCTATTAATCCTTGTCCTACTTGAGTGCGCCGTGCATTTGGTTTCGGTAGAAAAGCAGCCGATGAAAAGGCAGAAGTAAACCCCGGTTTTTTTCAGTTGTTCTTGTACTTTTTGTCCTCATAATGCAGCTATGCACAGTACCCTTTCAGCCTCAAAGCAAATAGAAAGTTTTTTTATTTGTTTCATTTTTTGCTCGTCAAATTTTCAGTCAATGACAACTTGGAGCTCTAATCATCTGCTGACTGTTACAAGCGAGCGCGCATCCGTACGTTTACGAGAAGAATTCAGTTTTTTCTCCACGCTCCGTTCCGAGCTGTTTGGTGTTGGTCTGCCTCCTTTCGCGGTGTATTTGATTAGCGAGTGGAACAGTCGGAATGGGCAAATATAAATGAGAGATAGCGCACATCGTTCAGTGGGGGTATAGCTCAGTGGTAGAGCATTCGACTGCAGATCGAGAGGTCCCCGGTTCAAATCCGGGTGCCCCCTCAAGTTTTGCTTTGTTACCAGTAATTTGTTTATTACAAATATATCTCGGATATTGTCGAATGCCATCAATGATGCCTTCCATTATTCGTTCAGTGAACACCACTTTCCCTAGCGCTTTTTCCTCCGAGCATTATCTTTTTTCTGAGATTTTGGGCCTAATTTTTGTTCGAAATTGCAGGCCAATATTGCTTGCAGTCCCGCGACCTCAGGAAGCAGAGCTGGGCGTTTTTAATTAAATCTGTCTGAAGCACGCCTAATGTAAAGCTTCTGGAGATCTGAAATTTCGAGCCGCACAATTGGAATTTATTTTATTCGCTTTTTCTTTTCACAGCCTAGTCGTAGTTCTACTTTTAGATGGGAATGGTGGGCATTATCCGTTTAGATGCGCGCTAGCGCAGCTCATCAGATGTGGTGTCTAAAAAGGCGACAGTTAAGCTCGCCCACCCCCCGTAGTACCTGTGAAAGGTGGCTCAAATGTTACAGCCGGATTATCTATGACACACATTTCTGTGGCGAGTTCGTATGCGTTCCAACAGACAATTTTGACAATTTTAAATTGAATGTGATGTCACTCACGTGTTACTCAGAAGTAGATGAAGTGAATAATTTCATATTTAAACTGCTCAAATTTGTATTCATGAGATATTGAAAAATGTACCCAAACATTTCGGAATCTCATACAAGAATTTTACAATATTGACGGATGACGTCATTCAAAATCTACTCATTGTTGCCATTCCCCTCCTTGACTTCTGTTTCTGAGGGTGCACGAATTGGAGGTCGATCGACGATTTCCGCCGAATGAAGGTTGGCGAACAGGATGCCAAAAAACTGGATTTTTTGGGAAGAATCAAATATTTCCAAGAGAAAAGAACTCACCCGATCCTCTCTCGAATATCTGGCGTAATTCTTTTGAGAACGAAACACACGTGCTATAAGCCGTCCAGAAAGATCACAAGACAAAAATAAAGGAAAAGGCCGAGAGACCTGTCTGAAGTAGTCTACATTTTGAAGGGATTTCATGACCTTCATTTTGCTCTTTGAAATGGTATATGGATTTTCGAAACATTTTGAAAAATTAGAGTCCGGAACCAGTGAGACTTCTCATATTTCGAGTGTGGGTATGCCCGAACCTAAAGCACACACGTAATAACTTCGTATTATTGCCTCGAGAAAGGTATTGGAGACACGGAAGTACTCGCAGGCACATGTTAATGTAATGGAGGCCAAGTGTACTCGCAGTTGTGCGAACGATGTTACAAAGATTCCCGATTTCTTGGAAACACATGAAGTGAGGGCCTAGTCGTTTCCCGGTGGTATCTGAGCCTGCGAGGCAGCCAGGCACTGCAGGATGGGGATACTGTGCTCTGGGGCAAAAAAATAAACTACCTTGGATACGAGAGAGCATTACCTTCTTAGTCTTTTCAACAAGGATATCCTATCACTGTTCACACCTAGGTGCTGATTGCTCATAGGAATTTGATCCGTACTTAGCTTCTATCACCGAGAGAGCATAGGACGCAGGTGAGGATGCACAGACCAATGCATCAACGTAGGGGGTGGAGGTTGCGGCCCTCAGCGTTCTATGTGGGTTCGCGAAACTCCTGCCCGATTTGCTCACTTCTTTCATCCCAGTAGTGTTATATCTGTCAATCGCTTAGCCCTGCATTGCTACTTACCAAAGGATTGATCCACTTATTTTCATCGCGGAGCGTGTCTTCAAAAAATCGATATCGAGTTCACTATTGCGCCAAAGCGATCGCTGACTCAAGATTTCAAGAATGCGATATTGATTGTGCGCACAGATCCCCACGTAAGAAAACACTATTTTTTAGTACGAAAACAGTGGAGAAAGTACTCACACAGATGGCTCCTAAAGGTAGACTCATACCGACAACCGTTTCGTAGTCTCCTCAAACAGCCAATTATTCTTATCACAGTTCTTACACCTGAGATGCTGATTGCTCATAGAAATTTGATCTAGCTCTCATGGCCATATTTTTGTCGATTTTTTTTCCACCTACCTTCTCAAAAGAAATACCGAGGGCGCTGTGCCTTGAATATTGATATGGTCGCGGGTTTGCTCCGTACTTCCATTAGGCCGATGTCATAGTTTGCGAATCGAGCGATGCGCAGCGAATCGAACGTTGCACCAGCGAGTCGAACTAGGTACCAGCGACTCAATAGTGGCGGGACCCAACGTTCAAAGGAAGCCCGCCACTTTCAAACAGCGTCCACTGTCATTATGGGATGATTACAGCATTCGCCAGCGAATCGCTCGATTCGCAAACTATGACATCGGCCTTACCTCCCAACTAGGGATCGGTCATGGTGACAACAAAACTTATCAGATACAGCCCCGTTCCATCTCATCAACACTTATCTCGCTGCCGTTTTTAACTTTGCTTCCACATCCACAAATTCTCGTCGCTTGAGAGAAGGTTGTCGTTGATAAAGTTCGCGAAACTTACTGAATAATTATTTTCTACATCACCCTTTCAAATTAAATCTCAACCAAAATTAGCTAAATTAAATACCTTTTACTTAAATTTCCAAGAAATGACAAAGAGAACTCACCACGTCTTTTTGGGGATTGCGAAGGCTGGTCAAAGGAATTGAGATGTAAATATACCGAGAACTGCCGCACTTCTTGTTGTGATTATGCAGCAGAGGGCCATAATCACGCAAGAAATGCGGTGGTTCTTTCGGTGTATTGCAGTGGATCGTTAGTGACCCATGAGCTGTTGGTGTCATTTCCGCTGTGACTCTAACCACCGACCAAAATCTTGCAATTTGGCTGATTTCGGC